GACTTATTTATTTCACTTAGGAGTATATCTTCAATATGTATCCATTTTCCTATGAATGAATCTATTCTCTCGCTCTTTATGGCTGAGTAATATTCCATTTTATAGAAAAACCACAACTTCTTTATCCAGTTTCCAACGGATGGGCAAATAGGTTGTTTCCAAGATTTAGCTATTACAAACTGTTAGCACTTTACTCTTTATGAACAAAATATGGGACAGATCACACATGAAAAATCAAGCGCTGGAGGAGTTGAGAGTGCATGGAGAACTGGCCACTGCACCTTGCCTACGGGACAGAGAGCACTGCCGTAGGCCCCTAATTCCAGAGGGCTGTGACACTGCCCGAAGCCCACCTCTGAATGGCGTCTCTCCCACAACTTCCTGCTCTCCAGCTGAGCGAGACCCTTCCCCATCCTTCAAACACTTCATCTCCAACAGGCCACTTGCCCAAACACTGGCATGCGCAGAGTTTCTCAGGCTAAACGATCACCCTAAGCTGTCAGGAGTGACACAACTGACTCCAGGCCCCAGCGCGGGTCTCACCCCTTTGCTCTGCTCGCGGTAGTCCCTTTTCACCAAGCCTTGCTTCCCAATCAGAACAGGCACAATGAACCACTTCCTCTCCCAGAGTCCCCGGTGCTTGAGACAGACTCCTGCCACACCACCTGCTTCATGCTGTATGCACTTGTGTTTCCCACTAGAATTTAAGTGCCTGGAAGTAGCGTGGGTACAAAGCTTTTCCAGGTCTGCAAGCCAGTGCTGAGCGCAACCCACAAGACTGTTAAGTCAGTGGCGGCTGCGCATAATAGGATCTCGCCTGTGCCAGGTACAGCGTGCCAGAGAGTCTGGGCATGTGCTGCCTCCTTATCCTTACAGCCATTCAAGGGAGAAGGGAAAGTATCCCCGTTTCCTGATTTGCCCACAGAGGTTTGTAAAAGCTTCAGAAACATGTGCAGGAAGTAGGGGGAAGGGTTGACATCCAAGCCAAGGCCCAGGGTCACGCATCAAGAGTCAGTCACATCACTGCTAACAAATCAGGGGTCGCTCAGCATGAGAAGCAAAGCTGTGTCCGTGAGGCTACTTGAGGAGCTGGAGGTGGAAGAGGTACACAGCTACTAAACAGCGGATATATAACTCTTAATCCAAAAATTTATTTAATATTGTATTAGATGAGTTTGACAATAAAAAATGCTTTTTAAAGGTGCATGAGTTTTTGCTCTTTAAAAATGTCCCTTTAGGGCTGGGGATGTAGCTCAGTGGTGCCGCCTCCTGCCTCTCAAGGGTAAGGTCCTGAGTTCGATCCCTGATACCCCCCCCCCAAAAAAAAAGTCCATTTAGGGACTACATAGAAAATCTTTCTTTGATTTTAAATCCTTCTTTTTCAAAGATAATGCAGACTAAATACTTCCTCATAGACTATAAATATAGCTCAGGGGATATTTAGGAATTCAGAAAGTCAAAGATTATGATGCATCCATTCCATTGAATACTACTCAGTAACAAAAACGAATGCCCTGAGGGTCTATGCAACCAGAGGGACTTTAGGGGCATCAAGCTGAGTAAATAAAGCCAACCACGCAAGGACAAATGTCACACAACTACATCAATGCAAAGATGGTGCAGGGAGAAGTGGTCGCCAGGGTAGAGGGGAGGAGTCTACGACCATGAAGGAACTCTTTTATGGTGATGTGATAGTCCCATGCCGTGTGGGTACTTGGGCCCTGACATCACAGGCTGTGCAAAGGAACATCGGAAGAGTGACAGAAAACACTGGTAATAGCCGGGTATGGTGGCGCACACCTGTAATCCCAGCACTCGGGAGGCTGAGGCAGGAGGATCACTGTGAGTTCGAGACCATCCTGGGCTACATAGTGAGTTCCAGGTCAGTCTCAACTACACAGTGAGACCCTGTCTCAAAAACAAACAAACAAAACCAAACAAAAAAACCCCAACCAAACAAACAAAAAAACCACTGGTAAAATTCAAGCATGGCTAGAGTCTAGTTATCTATACTGCACCGACAACTTGCTGGCTTTGAGAAAGCAATAGTGTTACAAGGGAGCACTGGGCAACAGGTACATGAGTCTTCTCTGCACTGTTCTTGCAAGTTCATAATTATTTCAAAATAAAAAGTCAAAAAAGTGTAAGCATAGCTATGTAGGAAAAATACAGGCTCTTTTGTTTGTTTTGAGACAGGGTCTCACTATGCAGCTTAGGCTGGCCTACGACTCATGTGGTGATCCTCCTGTCTCAGCCTCCCAAGTGCTGCTGGGATTACAGATGTGCGCCACCATGCCCAGTGAGACAAGTTCTTAATATGGACGAAACCGGTTCAAATCTGAGCTGCGACATTTATTACCTGATGACTTTGGCATGTTACTCTTATCTCGTACTTGCAAAGTAAGGATGATTTGAGATAATGCATTTAAAGTACCTGGCATAATGCCTATCAATGGTAGCCAGAAAACATTGAAAGTCATTCTGATCACTATTACGTTGTCAAAGAACCCCTAAGAGTTTGGAAGATGTAACTGTGCCCTGCAAATCTAGCAGATCCAGCTCTAGGTAGCATCTGGGAGTGAGGCACTTTACTACATCACTGAGACAGGGCTGCCTGAAGAGGAAAATGCTACTTAGTTAACATGTACGCACACAGCTCCATATAAGAAAGCACTGCTTCCCCCTTACAGGCTAGTTTGGAAAAACATACTATCAGGCGGTCTGTTATTATGCTAAGATTATATGGAGATTTACGAGCATCTGTGAATTATATTCTTAAATGTCGATTTATACACATAATACATAAAAGTCTAATAGTCTAATGCTAACCTGGAAGCAAGAATATTTTTTTTAAAGGCAGAAGAATTTAAAGTGAGAAGAAGCTTTGCTGGTGTCTGTTTTTTTTTTTGCTTTTGAGACAGGGTCTCATTATGTAGTCCAGGCTGGCCTTGAACTTTGCTCCGATCCTCCTGCCTCAGCCTCTCGAGTGCTGGGATGACAGGCATGACTTTGCTCCGCCTCCTGCCTCAGCCTCTCGAGTGCTGGGATGACAGGCATGTGCCACCACTCCCTGTGTCTACACAGATGAAATTCTATAGCTCAGACTGTCTCAGCCCAGCACAAAGCAAAACACAGGACAGTGAGGAGAATCAGCCATTCCTGGCCATAGGCACCACAGTGTAATGAAGCTCCTTACCGCATTCTCCCAGAATGACATGTTCAGCATCTGATAACTCAGCAGGCTGAACAGGAAGATCCAGTGATAAGAAAATTCGCCTCACTCCCTGGGAACGTGAGTCATCACTATCTAAATATCATTAAATATTGAAGGCATCGCAAAGGTTCATTCTAACTCAAAATTGTGTGCCTCTAAGGACCTAAAATAGCTGAGAAAGAAGTATGATAAACAAGCTAAAACAAGGCACATGGCCCAGGAAGTGACAGGGACTGTCATGAGGGACGGGGCCCAAAGACAAGTTGCAGAGTGGTCCCCCGTGAGCTCAGGGACTGGCCCTACCTGGAGATAAGACACAGATACCCAAGTAGCCACGATGCCAGGCTGCAAGTGCTGGGAGCCAGGAGAAGAGTCCATGCGAAGTGCATGGGAAGGGAGAGGACGAGAGTTCCGAGGTGACGACTGCTTTAAAGATGACCCTTAAAGGACCGACCTTCTGGACCCAAGTGAGGGTTGTCTCAGCGGCACATGTGGGAAAGCAAGTGGGAATGTGTCAAAACACCCTGCTTGGGTCTTACAGCAGGGTGAACCTACAGCATGTGTGCCACAGCCAGCTCTTTAATACTGAAAGCCCTAAAAGGTTCGCCATCACTGCGCAAGGAGTCCAGCAGGACCAGACCAGCGAGGGTCACAGGACAATTTCTCAACAGCCTTTCGGGGACTCAGCCCACAGCGCTGGGCCCACCTGCCACACTGTGGAGCCTGATGCTTGCATGCCCACGAGAAGCTCTGAGGGGCTGTGAGAGCAGGAGAGACCCGAGGAAGAAAGCAGACAGGGTGAGCCTGGGAGGAACCACGGCGGTCCCACAAAGGATGGAAGAACACAGGAGGGGCTTTGCCGATAGACAGACCCATGGGATTGGGCAGCAGGACCAATGAAACAAACGCAGACGTGCAGCAGGTAGCACCTGAATAGATCCCAACGACACCTCCCTCGAAGTCTGTCCAGAGCTGAGCACGTGCTCTGCTCTCTTTGCCAGGTCTCATATCTCGGTGGCTTGACACTTCATCCGCTTGTCCCAGCTTCAAAAGTAATAAACCAAGGGGCCCTTTGTGTCCTTCTCATCTCTACCCTTAACCCAGTTTCTCACGTCTACCTCTTAGGCCAGTCTCGCACCTGTCAACCTCTCCCACCTCAGCCGGCATGGCAGCGGGATCACCTGGTGGAAGAGCCACCCGCTGCTGGCATTTCTTCTCACATGCCCCGAAATGCTCCTCATGGCTGAGCTCCAAAGACCCCAACCCTGAGAGATGAGGATACGGTGTTTCAGTTAGGCAGGGGGAAGTCAAGGGAC